CCTTTCCCAAGGACACAACGTCGGGCCCCTGTCGGGATTCGAACCCACGACCTTACGGTTGCGAGTCCGAGAGCCTAACCACTAGGCCACTGACGCCACTATTATCAACAATACCAACGCCACCGCGACCAGCACCACCACAACAACAAGAAAAACAACAACAACAGCAATAGCAATAAATGATAATGATAGTAACCAATATATATGGCATTTATATAGCGCTTAACCATGATTAAAGTACACAGACTCTTTGCTGCATTTTTCAATACAACAGTAACACATAGACAGCACACTGTGTTCTGACTAAAAATCTATGTGTCTTCTCAATTTGAAAACAGATATGAGTTAAACAGACAACAATAACAACGACAATGGGAAGAACAAAATAATAATAATAGCTCTTCCGTCTATGTCTGAAGATGACCAATACATCCGCAGAGGAGAAAATTTCAACAACAGCAACAACAACAATAATATAGCAGAAACTGAGACACCCCTGATGTCGAAACCCGACTTCTGACCTCGATACCCTGGATGTAGCGAGAGTTTTCCCCGATTTTCTCAGCCAGTTTCTCCATTTCCTCTTTGGTCCTCTTCAGGTCGCTCGCATCGTGCTCCTTCTGCTCACACACCCGCGTCATTTCGGACACTGTCTGCTTCAGCTGGTGGTCGTTCTTTTCCAACTCCTCTGAAAAACATTAACACATCAATGACGGTGGGTGGTTGACGGGTGCTCTGGTGTGGTTTGCTCTCTTTTTTTTTTTCAATCAAACATCTATCATCCTTTCCTCCTCTACTACATTTCTTTGTATGTTATTCTCTAGTAACATATCTTATCTTTGGAACTTATATGATCTAATTGTGTTGCATGTGCCGTAAAACTCTTACTAAATCATAAAACAGGCGTTGGAAAAATCCTCCACAATTAAGTTAATCTCCAAACTAAGGCATTAGTAGAAAAAAAAAACAATCTTCAATTGAGTGTGGTTGGAGGGTATCATTGGGGGTTCCATTTCTTTTCTTTCCCTCTGTCGTTTCTGTCTGTCTGTCTCATTTTTCCTAAACACTAAACGAAGTTGATAGCGTTAATGTGCTTCTCTTCACCCAAACAAACAATCTTCCCCGTATAAACATAACTTGTTAAAGATAGGTAAGTTCAGAGCCAATATACACTAGAGAAGGACCTCGTCTTAACCACAACATGTATACCTTCGTACTGATGGAGTCGTATCTGAAGCTCACTAAGTCGTTCCCGGTCCGTCTCCCAGGCCTTGACCTGGGACTGATGCGACCTGACAAGGTCATTGAGTTCCCGATCGCGAGTGCCCAGCTCCTCCATCAGAAGGTGGATTTCATGGCGCTGTTTGTTGATAACATCCTGCTCTATATGAGCCGCTGAGGTCTGTAATATGAACAAAATCAAACTATTATCATTCAAAGGTCCTGGGTTCGAATCCGGGTAGCGACCGAAAAATTCTCTTCTCTAAAATTGTCTCCTTTCACCTCCTTTCCTGCTCTCTAGCAATGTTCTGCTGTCTGCTTTCATTTCCACTTTCTGCCTCCACCCCTTCACCTCCTTTGCCCCCTCCTCTGGGCTCCTGACTCTTTCTGCAGCCTGTCTACTGCTACTCCTTGGCTCCTCCTTACTGCTGTCTTTCTGCCACACCCCTGATCTTCTGGTGGGAAAGATCTACACCTAGCCTTCTCGGACAAGGGCGAAAAATCTTGGAGGGCCCGTGTGCAAGTTGCGCACGTTAAAGATCCCTTGGTGGTCTAAAATCGATAAGAGTAGGCTTCGGCCGCCACCCAGGCAAAATTCAAAATTTCCTACCAACTGAAAATATTAGGTGTGTCCCGCGCGCTCATATGACCTTATGCAGTTGCGAGCGCCGTAAAACACTTTACAAAAACAAAAAACAAACTATTATCCTACTCTATATAGGCCATCATCATCCAGTGCCAGATCTGCGACAGACATCGGCGATCATGGTTTTCCATTCATTCCTTTGCTCGGATGCTCTCAAAAAAGCTACGTTTCCCTGATCTGTCCCTGTTACCCATTTGTTTAGGTTCCCTAAGTATGTTGTTCTGGGCCTACCCCTGCCTCGCTTGCCCTCAATTTTGCCAGTGAGAGCTAGATGTTCAAGACCCTTATGTCTATTCAGGTGTCCGATTGAGGTGAGTAACATTAATACAACCAAACTAGTATCCAATTTTATATGAGCCGCTGAGGGCTTTAACATTAACAAAATCAAAATATCATCCCGCTCGATATAAGCAATCAAAGGTTAGTTTTTTTTAGTAGAGGTTATACGGCGCTCGCAACTGCATAAGGTCATATGAGCGCCAGAAGATTAGAGCTGTTACAACAGAGTAACAAACATAAAAAAGATGAAGAGGAGATAAGGACGATAGATGTTTGATAGGAAAGAAGAAGGGTCCGCAAGATGACATTCACATTTCATCAGGAAAAGATAAGGACAGCACTAACAAGTAAAAGAAGCAGATGGTGCAAACTGTATTGGACCCCGACAACCATTCCTTTTTAGAGATTGAAGTAGAGAGAAAAACCAACAGTGTGCGGATGAGCTTGAAAAAAGCAAAAACACACCAAAAAAAGTGAAAGAAGTGAACTCAAGACCATCAACAACATCGAAACACAAAATTATTGGTCCTTGACACTTTCAATTTTTTTAAAGAAGGTGTTTTAACACCCCCATCAACACAATTGAGATCATTCACGAGGTGGGCTTCTGAACCTGCCGGTCAAGGTCAACCCGGACTGAGAAGGATACATCCCAGGAGAATACTCAATAAAAATTTCTTCCAACACAAAAATCAGACTTGGGACCCCTGTGTACAACAGTGGAGCACCTTACCTCTACAAAACAGAAGCCGGTGCTCTTGATATTGATGAGATGCATATCTCTATAATCACAAAACTGGTTTGTAATAATTAATTATACAGAAAAGAGTAGTATATTACAGCCAAGATAACAAGCTGCAGTTCATCAAGAGGAGATCAGGACAGTAGAAGCAAAACTATAAACATGAAACATGAAATAAGATGTAGACCACACCCATAAAAAAGTGAAGAAAAACTTAAACTATGAAATAGAAGAAGACCAGCCCCCCCCCCCCCCCCCCCCCCCAAAAAAGGTGAACACTTAACAGTAACTAAAGCTCCACAGTGACGAAACCAACATCAAAAACAACAAGGATACATCATATCACCTGCTTCAGATCGGCCATTCTGAAAGCTGTTGCAGCAACAACGGCGTTCTCCTCCTTACTGTGGTTGCAAGCGTTGAGTCGCGCCACCATGCCGTGAGGCACGCTGTACGACCTTGGCTCGGCCTGCAATGCGTAGTGACTCTTGAAGTCTTGCGGCCACTGGCTCCGGCCCTCAAGCGACATTTCTACTGAACTGTTCATCCTGAGGGCAAGGTCGTCGGAACTGTTGCCACGGCTAGCGTCAGATCCTGCCTCCGAATCCCAAATAATTACCTGCTTCTGCTGTTGCTGAGGCTGGAAATTGGACAAACGACGATTAACCAAATCCCGACCTATCTTCTCCTGCCTTTGGTCATCTATACTCTTAATAACAGGAGGATTGTCAACATCCTCATTCGTCTCCCTTTGTCTGCCGTCAACCGTCTGAGACGAGAGATACCTCGCCCACGTAATGTCTGTGCCTAAGGAGCACCGAGTCGTCTGGTTATAAGGAACATTGGACTCATTTGAATAAGGAGGGTTGTAGAAATGTGAGGAGGTGGGAACACCGTGAGAGCACTGATGTTTCATGCGTTCATCTACATCAGCTGTCTGCAACTCCCGTGGCTGTGTGGGATCCAGGACATCAGCTGGACTCGTTGCTCGGTCGTCTGGACTGGCCCTCGTCATAAAAGAACCCTCTATCACCGATATGTCCTCCAGGGTCAACGTCTCGTCGCACGAGTCATAATAGGAAGCGCAGCGGCTATTGTGCTGCTGATGCTGCTGTTGTCGATGGAGGTTGTGATGGCTGTGAGGTTGGTGTTGTTGTGGTGAACAATGACGGTGTGTGGTGCACTGTCCAGAAAGCGGGTCACCCTGACACAAGGGCAAAACCGATGAATGTTGATGAGGAAAGTGGTGTTTGTTCCCATGTCTGTCGGCGAGTGTGAAACTGTCGGTCGGTGAGTCATGACTTATCTGAGGTAACATCAGATACAACAATTACAAAAACAGTGATTACAATAAGGAATTCAGAGCTGTAGTTTTAGTAACAATTTTATGGCACTTACAACACAATTATGTAAAAAAAATGCCAAAAATTAGAGGTGTTACAAGAGAGTAACAAAAAAAAAAAGATTGAGGCGAAATTAGGACGATAAATGTTTAAGAGAAAAGAAGGGGCAAACCACACCAGAGCACTCAACAGTCAACCACTTTTAAGGCTCTCACTTGTTAAAATATAAGGCTGTAAGAATAAATAGGTGTTGCATAAAAATAAGACAATTTGAAGTGATGACTGGGTAAAATGATGAAGCAGAGAAAGACAATATGATCAAACTAAGGGGAAAAAAGGATATCTAGAGGTAGTTCAATACATGGTCATTACATAGAAGAACAATGCGACAGAGCGGACATTTGTAGTCCATACGTACATTATCATAAACCTTGATAGGAGTACTGTGGTGTGGACCTTGTTTGAAGTCATCCTGCCCATCTGCAAAGACAAACATAACTGAAAATGAGAACAGGCGACTTGATAATACTCTCTCTCTCTCTCTCTCTCTCTCTCTCTCTCTCTCTCTCTCTCTCTCTCTTTGGGTCATTATCTCTGTGGCGTGGGTCTCTACCCCCCTCCCTCCTTATATCTTTCTTTTACACAGAACACACACACGCTCACACAAGCACTCACACTAATACGCCCAGAAGAACAAGATAAATTAAGTAATAAATTGACAATTCACACCAGAACAGTTCTCTTAGCAGGTAGTAAAGTACTAAGTAGCAAAAACAGGCACAACATTATTTTAATCTCTTAAATTTTGTTCTTGAGAGAGTTCTGAGATCAATGCACCACTTCATGCAGACATTTTTCTGTTCACTGTTAGAGAAAAACATGGAAATTCTTATTCTAAATTATATTTTTCCTTTTTTGATAACAGAGCAGAATCGATTTCAACACATATCCAAATAAAAATAACCACTTTGGAATAAGCATCTCCTTCAAACAATCCAGTGGATTTGTTCAGCAAAAATGTTCTCTGATCATGACTACAGCATACAAGAAGACAATTTCTCCAAATCAAAATTATTCATATTCAGAAAGGGAAAGATTTTTAAAAAATTATTTTTAAAGCAAGCTTACTTTAGAGAAAAGTCATTACTTTCCTGTTTTCTACATATAGTCATATGAATGCTCAAAAGGGGATTCAGTCAACTGTATGAGTTATTTATATATATCATTTTAAGGTAACACTATTAACCAAAATACATACCATCATTGAATGACAGCATGGTGATCATTTGCTTCAGTGGATGTTTCAGTTTGCGATGTATGATGAACTGTGCAGTAATTTTGAAATTGAAATAGAATTGGATTATAAAGATATATATATATATATATAT